AGCGATTTTAATTGCAGCATGAGAGCTGTACATTGTTGTCTATAGCGAGTTTATTTGTAGTACGAGACCTGGACATTAATGTCTATAGTGAGTTTATTTGTAGTACGAGACCTGGACATTAATGTCTATAGTGAGTTTATTTGTAGTACGAGACCTGGACATTAATGTCTATAGTGAGTTTATTTGTAGTACGAGACCTGGACATTAATGTCTATGGAGAGTTTAATTGTAGTACGAGACCTGTACATTATTGTCTATAGTGAGTTTATTTGTAGTACGAGACCTGGACATTAATGTCTATGGAGAGTTTAATTGTAGTACGAGACCTGTACATTATTGTCTATAGTGAGTTTATTTGTAGTACGAGACCTGGACATTAATGTCTATAGTGAGTTTATTTGTAGTACGAGACCTGGACATTAATGTCTATAGTGAGTTTATTTGTAGTACGAGACCTGGACATTATTGTCTATAGTGAGTTTATTTGTAGTACGAGACCTGGACATTAATGTCTATAGTGAGTTTATTTGTAGTACGAGACCTGGACATTATTGTCTATAGTGAGTTTATTTGTAGTACGAGACCTGTACATTATTGTCTATAGTGAGTTTATTTGTAGTACGAGACCTGGACATTAATGTATATAGTGAGTTTATTTGTAGTACGAGACCTGGACATTATTGTCTATAGTGAGTTTATTTGTAGTACGAGACCTGGACATTAATGTCTATAGTGAGTTTATTTGTAGTACGAGACCTGGTACATTATTGTCTATAGTGATTTATTTGTAGTACGAGACCTGGACATTATTGTCTATAGTGAGTTTATTTGTAGAATGAGACCTGGACATTAATGTCTATAGTGAGTTTATTTGTAGAATGAGACCTGGACATTGTTGTCTATAGTGAGTTTATTTGTAGTACGATACCTGGACATTAATGTCTATAGTGAGTTAAATTGTAATACGAGACCTGGACATTATTGTCTATAGTGAGTTTATTTGTAGTACGAGACCTGGACATTAATGTCTATAGTGAGTTAAATTGTAATACGAGACCTGGACATTATTGTCTATAGTGAGTTTATTTGTAGAATGAGACCTGGACATTATTGTCTATGGAGAGTTTAATTGTATTACGAGACATGTACGTTGTTGTCTATATAAGTGTACGAGACCTGTATATTGTCTCAGCAAGTGTTTGTTGTAGCACCTGTAGCACCAAGCGGCGTATGTGGAATACAATGAACCGTAGAAACCTGGGGTCTTTTTAATCGCTTCATAAATATATATAGAGCTCTTGAGTCAAATATTATTAAATATTTGAAATGGAATGAAAACTGTTTCTAAAATATGGGCGTGGTCATTTTTGTAACTCGATGTCCGTGTATAGGTTTGTAGGATTATTTGATGATGATACATCAATGTTCTTGATGAAGATGTGTGTCATGGTAGTTTTCAAAGTCTGATTGAATATCCCAGTTGGAGGTGATGACTTTCTTTTTATATTAAATGTCAGAAATTATATGCATTTCTTGACGTATGTTATTTTTTTATTCGGACCAGGCATTAGATAGGAAGGACAATTACACAAAGAATAACTTATCACCATGAAGATTTTATTGTCGACAAATTGTCACTAATAATCAGTGTCAATCAAAATAGTGGGTTTCATGGTCGTCTATTTCGTTAGCTTCGGCACCTGATGCTTATCATTTTTGTCACAGTATCTGTGTGTCGAGGTAAAATAAATGACAAACAATTAACATTAATCGCGTTGTTTGTCGGACACCTTTGATTGATGACAACATGTAAATAAAGCTTATCTTCTTTTTCATGAGAACCACGAACCATATTGATATTACATTTGGATTGTAGCTAAGTCCATTGGGGTCATAACTATTCTCGAGAGTGAGCCATGTCATAGACGATATATGTTGCTAAGACGCGCACCACGCGCCGGTAGAATAGTCAGCGAAAACAGCTGAAGTCGAGAAAACAGCAGAAACTCAACTATAAGATAATCCTGAACAACCAAATTTAGATATGTTGTACATGTAGGCGCAATCTTGTTATACTGTTAAGGGAAGTCTCAATAATTAGCCCAAAGTACAGTTTTTTGAGAGTTTTTGACCGTTGTTTATCACCGGTTGTGGTTGCCAGGCGGATGTTCGCTCCCTAGAATAGTGTATATTCATAACATGACTATAT